CAGGACTGGCACAGGGAGGGAGAAGAACTGAGATTTATTTGCTGGGTTCATTGTGCTGTTCAGTTTCTCTTACATGCTATTCTTGCCTGCTTTTTGTTTATTGTGAGACCTGGGTGGCATTTAAAGGGCTAATGATCTTATAATGATAATTCATTGGCTAAATGAGTAGTAATGATAAAATTTTTCATTTTCTTTTGATATCCACAAGCAATATATTATTTCCCCAATTTTGTACTGCCCATAAAGGCAACAGTTGTTAGAGTATCTTTCTGGTGTAGTCACTAACATAAGATCTATAGCTCTGTTGTTATTAAATGCAGTCAAGTCAGTTCCGAATAGTGACCCTGTACAGGGTTTTTGAGGCTGTATCTTTGTGGGAGCAGAAAGCCTTGGCTTTCTCCCACAGAGTGCCTGGTACTTGAACAACTGACCTTTTCGTTTACAGTCTAGTGCTTATCTTACAGAGTCACTACACTCATGGTCTGTAACTTTAATCTTATTTATTTTATTTAAATGAAGTGACCCAGTTGGTGTGGTGCTGTGGGTTAATGTGCCAGACTGCAAAGTTGTTTGAACTGCAAGGTCAGTGGTTCAAGCTCACCAGCCACTCCTCTTCTGAGGAACCTATACAGGCTCATGTGGAACCTGTACAGAGATCAAGAGGCGAGACAGTTGTTCAAAGAGAACAAAGGGATAATGCATGTTTAAAATCAGGAAAGGTGTGTGTCAGAGTTGTATCCTTTCACCGTATTTATTCAGTCAGAGGATATAACTCCAGAAACTGGACTAAATGAAGAACTTGGCATCAGGATTGAAAGAGGATTCATTAGCAACCTGCAGATGACACAATCTTGCTTGCTGAAAATGAAGAGGACTTGAAACATTTACTCATAAATATCAGAGATTACAACCTTCAATATAAATTACGTGTTAACATAAAGAAAGCAGAAATCCTTACAAATGGACCAATAAGCAACATTGTTAAAAACAAAGAACATATTGACGTTGTCATGGATTTCATTTTACTTGGATCCATAATCCATAATCTATAACCATGGAAGAAGCAGTCAAGAGATTGAAATGACTTATTGCATTGGGTAAATCTGTTCCATAAACCCTCTGCCATTGAGCTGATTCTGATTTATAGCAACCCTATACAGAAGATCTCTTTAAAGTGTTAAAAAGCAAAAATGTCATCTTGAGGACTAAAATGTGCCTGACCCAAGCCAATATGTTTTCAGTCACTTCATGTGCATGTGACTAAAGCAGATTGAAGAAGAATTGTTGCCTTTGAGTTGTGAGGTTGATGAAGAATATTGAATGTATCATAGACTACCAGAAGAATGAACAGATCTGTGCTGGAAGAAGTACAACCACAATGCTTCTTTGAAAGGATGGTGAGACTTTGTCTCATGTATTTTGAACATGTTATCAGGAGAGACCAGTCCATGGGGAAAGACATCATGCTTGATAGAGGGTCCGCATAAAAGACAAAGACACTCAACTAGATGGATTGGCCCCAATGGCTGGAACAGTGGACTCAAACATAACAATTGTGAGGATGACACCGGACTGAACTGTGATTAGTTCTGATATAAAAGCATCAAGTTAGTGGCAGATGCTGTTAAGGAAGTCTGTGTCCCAGATCTTTGGATTAAATGAGTGATTGTAGCTAACGTGTATTATGCTAGACACAATGCTAAATGCTGTATGTGGATTATCTTGTTTTTTTTTTTTTTTTTTTAACCCACAACAGCTCTTTGTGATGAGTATTATTACCATTCTAAATTACAGGTAAGGAAACTGAGGTGTATAGAAGATAGTAACAATAAAATATTTTGGGAAAGTGAGTATTAGGTATAATACATTACAAATTATGCAAGCTATCAGTGGGTGGAAATGATTATTGCTTTTTGATGTACATAAACATTATTTAAGAGTTTAGGACAAGAAATGAAGAGTGCATGATGTATAATAATTCAGTTAGAATTGCTTGTGTTTTTGCTTTTGTTATAATAACAATCGCCTGAACTGAATTTTCTTTGGGGAACCAACCTTGGACTAAAGCAGACCTGAATTTGAATATCAGTTTTGCTACTTGAAAACTGAGTGCTTTTAATTAGTTCCTTAAATGCATTTCTCAGTTTCTTCATCTAATTAATGGGGACAATATCTTTCTTCCCTCACAGGTATATCATAAGTATTGGTAAAATATAAACCCAGAACCTCATATGTAACAAATACTCAATAATTAAATTTCAACTTTATTTCTTACTTTTCCATTTGTCATTAGACAGGGAACAACTTTGAAGGCGTTGGGGATATTCTTTATGATTTTAACAAGGCAGAAAATCCTCTCTAAAATAACATAATTGTGTTTATAAAACAAGTTTCACAAATCCATTCTCTTTTTTAACTTCTAGAGTCCCTTATAAAATTTATCATAAAATATTATTTTGTATTGATTAAGTTAAAAGTTAAATTTTGGACACCAAACTGTCTCCCAAGATAACTTTGTTTTAACAGATCATGAATACATATCTTCTACTTTGTGGACTGGGTAGTCTGTTCCAACTCTTCGATTCTGTCTTTGTAGTTTGAAAGCAATGGAAATAATTTATAAGTGAATGCTTGTGCCTGTACTTCAGTAAAACTTTGTTTGCAAAATAGGAATTCTGGTAGATTTGTAGTTTACTGAATGTTGGCTTCTGCTTCATGTTAGGGAAATATTGTCTGAATCCAAGTTTGCTAAAAGATCTATAAATTGCTATATGGTTGTTGCTCCCAATTGGATTCTGACTCAGTTAATCCCCATAGTGCAGAGCAGTACTAAGTCATGGGGTTTTCAAGGTTGTGACTCTTTAGAAACAGACCTTCAAACCTGTCTTCTGAGGTACATTGGGATGGACTTGAACTTCCAAATTTGGGGCAGTAGTCAAGCACTTAACTATTGGCACCAACTGAGAACTCCTTTGAAAGAACTCATTGTATGGGATGAAATTGAAAACAGCACCTCAAAGGCTATATAGGATGCTTAGAGGGAAATGTTTTTGCTTTTGATATAACAACAATTGGCTGATTTGAATTTTCAATTGGAGGAACAAATTGGAAGAAGAGGTGAGAATGGCTGAACATTTGTAGAATGTAATCAATATCACAGGGAGGAACTTTGTTGCATTGGTGTGTTTTGCATGTATATATTGAACAACAACAAAAAGACCCATAAACTGTGAAAGTGAAATAAATATTCTTCAGTTACTATGTTTCTCTCTTTCTTAATAATAGTATATATAGAGAAATTGCTATATGCCGGGCACTGTTCACACCTTTTTACATTATATTTTATTTTTCAATAGGCTTAGGAGGCTGTTTTGGTTATAATTTCATTTTTCAAAACAGAAACTAAGACCTAGAGAAGCGAGGTCACTCACCTAATATCACAAAATTCAGAAATGACACCCTCTGGTTCCAGGATAGTTTTGACACTGTAGCCTACATGCAATATTAGCATTTGGCTCCTAACTGAAAGAAAGATTGGTGATTCAAATGTTCCCACGGCTCCTTAGGAGAAAGATGTAGCAGGTGGCTTTTATAAAGATTTCAGCCTTGGAAGCTTTGGAAACAGTTCTAATCTGTTCTATAAGGTCAATCAATATGAGTTGGAAGTGGCTGGATGGCATTAAAAATTTTTTTTTTGCTGATGTTTTACTAATGATAGGTTGTTGGTTCAAGAGTTAGAAGTTCACTGTACAGTATCTGTATAGCCTTTCTGGAAAAAGGGCATGAAAGAATACCAGCATTATATATATATATAAGCATGAAGAAAAGCACTGGATAAATGAGATGGGTGTGAATTTTAACTTTTAATTCCTTAATTAGTTTTTCAAAATTAGCTTGTTTTTATTTCTGGCTAAGTTTTCAGATGTAATCTTGAGAAGTCTACCAAAATGTGAGGCTTTGTTGCTTCATTCTCTGCTGGGAAATTTGTTTTTCTTCACTGGACCATTTGGAGGTTTTATTTTGTTCTCTTTTCTTTAATATCCTGATTAAAGGATTATAAAGCCATTTAACAGGGTTGAGTCATTAATTCCACCCAGAACACAGTACCACATACTCAGGGGCATTGGTTTGCATTTGTTGAATGAATAATAACATAGCAGAACTACCTTTTTTCTGTAACTGTGTAGACTGTTCTTAACATTGCCCATAATCTCTGGGTACAGTCTTTAAAATTAGCACAACACTTGACAACAGTAAGAAGATAGGTTGGGGAAATTACCTGACTGGGGTTGTGAATATTGAACAAGTGGCCTTGTTGTCATATTGGGCACTGTTCTCTTGTGACCTCAGAATAGAGGTATTTGTAATGCTATTGCATTAGAAACACAAACTTTTAATGACTGCTGACTTCAGAGTGAAGGTACTTATAATGCTATTGCATTAGAAACTCACACTTCTTGCCCCCTTTTTGGATCAGCAAACATGTATTTGGGCTTAGTTGGTTCTAGATACATTTAGGAACTGAAGATAATGATCTTTGTTTTCTGAGAACTCAGAGTCCAACATCAACTGGTAATTGGTCTATATATATTAAATGTGTCAATGAAGTCATCATAAAGAGAGAACATAGGAACATTGAGGAAGGTACAACTGACTGCCTAGTGGGGTCATGGTGCTGTTGTCATGAAGAGTTAGAAAAGGGAGTTTTACAGGGAAAGAAGATGATTGGGTCAGGATCTTCAGGGAATGAGGAATGCTGAATCATGAAAGAGAATAAAATATTTGGGGAAGGATATGAATTTTGTTACAATTGGAAGAGGATGGGACAAGGGATGAGCCTGTCAAAATAGGTTGGAGCCAGATGGCCAATGTGATAAAGGCATCATTGGAAGATTTCAATTAGGGTGTGACATTATCTGAACTTATAAAAATAATTCTGGTGAGAGTGTGAAAGGGGAAAATACTGACAGGGATGGGTTGTTCATTCTTCTGCCTTTCAGCTTTCTCCTGTGCTTCTGGAGAGTATCTAGAAATGAAGAACCAGGTTTGCAGTAAGTGTGGTGAAGGCACCTACTCCTTGGGCAGTGGCATCAAGTTTGATGAATGGGATGAATTGCCAGCAGGATTTTCCAACGTGGCAACCTTCATGGACACTGTGGTGGGGCCTTCAGACAGCAGGCCAGATGGCTGTAACAAGTAAGAACCCAAAGGAACTGTGGATCTTGACTGAATACTTGAGAAAGGTGTACTTGTTCTTTGCTAGAAATAAGTTGAGAATAATTTTGTTGATTATATTAAAGAAAAACGAATTGCAAGAATCTTAGTTTTTGGACAGTTGTTAAAAATAATGGACCTGTGTTTCCATGTGATTCAAATAATTTCTTCTGGGATGTTATAGGGACAATGTATAAAAATACAATAAAATGTAAGGAAACAAATTAATTTCCTAGCAATATAGAGCTACACTCAAGGCAGTGATGTTTCTAAAAACCTTTTTCTATACCCTTTAATAATTTTTAATGGGCAATTTCAGATAGTCTTTTTTGGATAACCTTCAAATAGAAACTTGATTATCTTAAGTGAAAGAGTGGGTTAAGCACTTAAGTTCGAAAGTGTCTTTGTTTTATGCTTACCTCTGTAGTTGTGAATGATTAGCTTGACCTATGACAGTGCTGGAGGAATGTTAAATTGCTTTGAGAAAAACAGGAAGGGGCTGTACCCATTCCTGCTTTCGTGCATTGATTATGTAACATAACCAGTGGTTCATTGATAGAATTCTAGCCTTCCATGTCTTAGTCCTGCGTTCCATTCCCAGCCAGTTCACCTTATGCACAGCCACCCTGTGTAGTGCTGTGGGTTCATGTGCTGGACTGAAGGGTTGGTTTGAACCACAAGGTTGGCTGTTCAAGCTCACCAGCCACTCCTTGGAAACCCTATGCAGGGTCGTTATGAGTTAGAACTGACCTGACAGTACTTAACAACAACAGCAACAACGTGATAGATTAGGAAGAAAGGTTTGATAGTCTATTTTCAGAAATCAGCCAATGGATACTTATGAGTCATAATGCTCTGTTCTTCCAGTCATTGGGAGGATGCAGCATTTTGTTCTATTGTGTACACGATTCCCATGAATCAGGGTATGTTAGCTAGCAACAAAAACAACAAGAAGCATACCAAGGAATTAGTTAGCTGTGCTAAAAGGAGATATGTTTTGTTTTCTATCGTCCCCTGTCCTCTTCCTCTCCACTTCCCCTTAATTATCCTCTCTCTTCCTTCCTTCGTTTCTCCTGTTTTATTATTCTCAAGCCCAGAGAACTCTTCCTGCTGATACTAGTTTAATTGACATTTTATTTTATAGGGTTGTAGCATTAGAAATAATAATTTATTTATAATAATAACTGTGCTTCTGAAGAGTATCTAGAAATGGAGAACCAGGTTTGCAGTAAGTGTGGTGAAGGTATGTGTGTGTGTGTGTGTATATATGTAACACTTTGTATTCCTTAAAGGAAGGCACTAGGAAGATATTATGGAACCTTTTTGCTTTGTTGGGCAGAAGATATTGACATGGCATTGTTCATTAAGCAAATAAACTGAATGATAAGTAGAAAGGTTTTCATTTTATTGCTTTTAATTCTAGTTTTCTCAAAGTGTAACATTTAGTCTAATATTGCTATGATTATTTTCCTTACATCTTTTCTTCCACACATTCTGTCTTGTATTCTTTTTGCTTCATTTTAGTTGACTGGATCGTATAGGAGATGCTTAAAATTTACAAGAAACAAGCAAATAATTTCCCAAAATGGTTATATTATTGTATAGTTCCACCAGCAGTGTATTAGAGTCTTAGTTTGCCAGCATCTGTATGTCAAATTCTTAAAAATTTTTAGTGATTCTAACGTATGTGTGAAATGATATCTCCTTATGGTTTTCATTGAAATTTCCCTGCTGAGAACATTTTACGTGTGCTTTTTGGCCATTTGTTTACCTTATGTAAGGTATCTTTTAAATGTTTTGCCCATTGTCTATTTCTATATTTTATAATTCGGCTGTAGGAGTTCTGGGTATATTCTGGATGCAAGTAATCATCATGTGTGTATTTAGTATAGATTACATACACACACATCTATATATGTGTCATGTCATTGAGTTGATTCTGGCTCATAGTGACCCTACAGACCCATAGGACAGAGTAGAACTGCCCTCATATGAGGGTTTCTCAGGCTGTAATCTTTATGGGAGCAGATCACCAAGTTTTTTCTCCCATGAAAAGGGTGGAGGGTTTGAACCACTGACCTTTCAGTAAGCAGTCAGATGCTTACCCACTCTGTCACCAGGTCTCCTTATATGTATATGTAATGTATAATATTTCTTCCTAGTCTATAGCTTGCTATTTCATTTTTAAAATAGTAATCTTTGATAATTAGGAGCTCTTACAGTTTTTTTTTTATAGGTTCCTAGGGTCATGCTGTAGGATAAGCACTGGACCGAAAAGTAATTTGAACCACAAGGTCAGCAGTTTAAACTGCTCCTTGGAAACCTTATACAGATTCACTGTAAGTCAGAATGGACTCGATGGCACTTAACAACAACAACAACAATAATATAGTTCATTTAAAATTTGTCTTTTGAAATTTAAGATTTGTTTTAAGGCTTAGCATCTGGCCTGTCTTAGTTAGCATTCCATGTGCAATTGAAATGATTGAGGATTCTGCATTTGTTACATATGTTGTTGTTGTTGTTACGTGTTGTCTAGTCAGTTCTGAATCATAGCAACCCTTTATAGAGTTTCCAAGGAACAGCTGGTGAGCGTGGACCATCAACCTTGTGGTTCAAACTGACCTTGCAGTCCAGTGCATTAACCCACAGCACCCTAAGGTATTGTGTTGTATAAAAATTAAGTTGGCTGGCAGTGCTCTTCAAATCTTCTATATCCACACTGAGGTTTTTGTTTTGTTTTTTTGTCATTTATTGAGAGAAAGATGTTAAATTCTTCATATATGTTTGTGGATTTTTCTATTTCTTCCCCTTTGTTTCTGTCAATTTTGCTTGTGTTTTATTCTTCTATTGTTTGGTGAAAGTTGCTCTGGTAGCATGGTGGTTACTAGTCGGGCTGCTAACCTCATGGTCAGCAGTTCGAAACTACTAGTGGTTTCTTAGGAGAAAGATGAGGCTTTCTGCTCCTGTAAAGATTTACAGCCTCGGAAAGTCTACACAGGGTCACTATGAGTGGGAACTGACTCCACAGCACATATCTGCTACCATTGTTCTGTGAAAACACATTTAGGATTGCTATATCTAACTAGGAGTCTACGCAGGGTCACTATGGGTCAGAACCGACTCAACAACACTTAACAACAACAAAATATCTAACTAGTAAATGAATCCTTTAATAATTATGAAATGTCCCAGTTTACTCTGACAATAATTTTCCCTTTTACTTGGAGTGTACTGTTGGTATTAATGTAGTTTTCTCATGCTTACTGTTTGCTTGGTTTACCTTTTTCCATCTTTTAATTTTCAAACTGTTTGTGCCTGCATATTTAAAGAAATTTCTTTTAGATAGCATATAGATAGGCTTTGCTTTTGCCCAGTTTGACAGTCTCCTCTTTTTAATTGGGGTGTTATTATATTTAATACAATTACGAATGTAGTAAGGTTTGGTGTGTGGTCTTCTTTTTATCCTACTTGTCCTATGTGTTTTTCTCCTGCTTCCTCCCATCATGATTTATTTTGGGTTATTCTAATATTTGTGGTGCTGTGGGTTAATGCTCCAGACTGCAATGCTGTTTGAACTGCAAGGTTCATGATTCAAGCTCACCAGCGGCTCCTTGGAAGCCCTTTACAGGGTCACTGTGGGTCAGAACTGACACGACAGCACTTAACTACAATAAGAACAATATTTGTTTTTAGACCTATATTTTATTTCTTCATTTGTCTTTTTAGCTGTTTCTCCTCAGATTTTTTTTTGTGTGTGTGTGTGTGATGGTACAAGGATATAAATTACATTACAAATTCTTTCCGTAGTTTAATTAGAGTTATTGTTATACCTTTACATAATATGTAAAAACTTAAAAACAGTATAATTACATTTACAACCTTATGAATTTTTTAATGATTTTCATCTTTATGAATTTTATTTAATATGTATAATAACCATAACTCTATAATTATGTTTCAAATTATCAGCTATGATTTTTAAAATTTAAATGATAAAAACGTAGCTTTTTATACATATCTACATTCCATTTCTGGTGCTCTTTCTTCTTTTCTATGGAACCAAGTATCCTAGAACATCATTGCCTTAAGTCTAGAAAATTGTCTTTACTATTTTCTAATTCAGGTCTGCTGGTGACAAATTCTCTCAGCTGTTGTTGGATACAGACTTTTATACTTTCCACTACCTTCTGAAATCCCTTGGTTGTAATGAACAATTAGCCATTATTTGCCTTACATGTAATGTGTTTTTATTTGTCTGCCTCCTAATAAGAAACTCTGTGAATTTTTGCCGTTTAGCAGATTAACTGTAGTGTGTCTAGGTTTGTGGATTTTTTTTTTTTTTTTTAAATATTTACTCTGCTTCAGGTTTATTGAAGTTCTTGAATTTTGGGATTGATATTTTTCATTAGGAGTCCTGGTGTAATGCTGTATGATAAGCAGTGGACTGCTAACCATAACGTTGACAGTTCACACCACCCAGTGGCTCCTTGGTAACCCTATTCAACATTACTGAGTCAAAACAGTTTGATGGCACTTAACAATTTTTCATCAAATAAAGGAATTTTTTAGCCACTGTTTCATAAAACAATTTTCTGCCTCTTTTCTTCTTACTCCAATTATGTGTTTGTTGTTGTTGTTGTTAAGTGCCAACGAGTCAATTCTGACCCATAGCGACCCTGTATAGGGTTTTGGAGGAGCAGCTGGTTAGGCCACTTAATATTATCTTAAAAGTTGCTGAAACTGGTTTTCCATTTTTTCATCTATGCTTTAAATAATTTCTGCTTATCTAAGTTAACTATGCCTTTCTTTTATAGTCTTCAACTTGTTGTTAAACTACCTAGTGAATTTTTTAAAAAATGTTTTATTGTGAATTATGTGATAGTTTATATGGGAGAACATTAGCTTTACATTCATCCAGTTGTAGATTGTTACATTGCCATGGTTACAATTCCCTCCATGCATCATCAACTAACCAAATGGTACACCCCGCAAGCCTGCCACCTGGTTGTCAGCACACAACCCCTCTCTCTCTCTGGGTCTAGAAATCCCAGCTGCTCCATCTCTCCATCAATACCCTGTGTATTGAGGGGGTGGGAATGATCCTCGCTGTAAAGATTTGTTCCCTCTTTTGAGCTACTGCATCCATAAGTGTATGTCCAGTTCATCAAATTGTTATCAGATTCCTCTTGTTTTCCTCTTCTTTCTTGTATTTGAGCTCTGATCATCCAACCATTGAAGCCAGGTCAAGTGGGTATTATCTGCAAGTGTGGGTGTCCTAGTAAATTTTTTAAATTTTCAGTTCTAGAATTTTCACTTAGTTTATTTTTTTTATAATTTCATTGGTCTTAACATAAATGTAACTCTCTATCAATTTACTTATTATATTATATTCAGCTTTCATTCAATGTTTTTGATTCTATTTGTAAAAGCTATTTAAGTAAGTCTCTAATTTTATTGACTGGCTTTTCTTTCAACAGAGGATTGTATTTTTCCATTTTATTGCCTGTCTAGTAAATTTTGATTGGATCCTGGGCTTTACGAATGTTAAATTGTAGAGAATATGGATTAAGTTTTCTTTATTTAAAGGATTTTGAGTTTTGTTGTGCTAGGTGATTTATATACTAGAATATTACCTTGGTCTCATCAGTCCTGGTTTTATATTTTAGGGTGGGTCTAAATTTGTTTTACATATAGTTATAGGTCATAGCCTTTACTGTAAGGCAGGGATAGGCCAACTACATCCTGTTGGCCGCCACCTATTTTTGTAAATAAATTTATACTGGGATATAGCTGCATCCATTTAAAATATATATTACCTATGACTGCTTTTAAGATATAATGGCAGGGTTAAGTATTTGCAACAGAAGTCAGATGGCCCACAAAACCAAACATATGTCCTAACAGGTCTTTATTTAAAAATTTGTCAATAACTTCCTCTAGATTGTAGCCCTTCCTCCATTGTAACCCTTCCTCCTAGGATTTGGCAACTCTGGAGTTTCACATGAATGTCCAATGTGCTCTTTGAATTTTCTACTCTTGGGTTGGCCTGGTGCTCTATTGACTCCCATTGAAGTCACCTCTCTGATAATGTATCAGCCATGAAGTAGCTGCTTTTTCTAGATTTACACCAAAACAATTGCCAGCAAGTCATTTCTGATTATAGTGATCCTATAGGAAAGAGTAGAACTGCTGCTTAAGGTTTTGAGACTGAGTCTATACAGGGTTGCTATGGGTTGTAACCTACTCAATGGCACGTAGCAACAGCAACACCAGTGTGAAACTCTGAATTATATTTTATGTAAATTCACTTTAAATGTGCTTTTAGTAGGATTATTTTTCTCTCATAGCAAGGGCACCCTCTTTATGTGTGTGTATGTGCATGTAAATGAAACTCCCTAAGTTGTATGATAGAGTCATTCCACCTAAGAACAGTAGAGTTAAGGGGAAATTTGGTTGTCAAGTTTTAGGGAAAAAAGATAAGCTTTATAGCAAAGAATGTTTTGATTTTCTCTCTTGTGCTTTGCTCTTGGAACCCACTTTTGAATCTAGGTTACACTGCTTTATGAACAGAATAGTTTTCTGAGTGCTAATGTGACATGCTCTTGGTTTTGTTTCCACAGTTCTTCTTGGATCCCTCGTGGAAATTACATAGAGTCTAATCGTGATGATTGTACGGTGTCTTTGATCTATGCTGTTCACCTTAAGAAGTCAGGCTATATCTTCTTTGAGTACCAGTATGTCGACAACAACCTCTTCTTTGAGTTCTTCGTAAGGCATTTTGAATTTTGTAATTTGCTTTTTAAGGGATATTCATGTAACATTTTCCTTAATCAAGTGTTCCAATTCTGCCTTGTCTCCTCAGTTGTTTGTGTTAATGGAATCTTTTCAAAGTCAAAGAAAACTTGAAATTTTAAATAATATTTTGTTTTCTGGTTAATGTTAGTATCTTTACTTCTGTACTTTCACCTTAATGAGTAACACTGGACTTGTTTTACTGTGGTTGTGATAATTAGATGACCATTTTGTTAAGGCTTATATGACAAAATTTAAATTTTGATTTTTTTTTTTAGCTATTTTGTTGAAAAGGAGTTTTTAATGAGTTTTTTATTCAAACGGTCTTTGTTTCTTTTTAATTAAATTTTTTTTTTTACTCATTAGAGTTATTTAAATGTATCATGAGTTATATTTTAGAAGTAGAAATGACTATGTAGTTCTCATTCTATGAATTTTGTACAATCTAAAGGAATAAATGAATAGGGTAGTCAGTGTCTCTGGAAACAGGTTAGGTAGCATTACAGAATATAGAATAAAATAAGTTTTCTAACAGAAAAGAATGTTACCACTAAAATTATTTGTTTTAAATAATTTCATTTGTTAGATTAGGAAACTATTTCTAATCTAGCCAATATTTATTGTGGCAGTTACTCGAATGCTTGAGAAAATATGTTCGGATTGACTTCTTATATTCAGCAAATTGTGTATTTTTCAAGGAATGAGGAAGCTTTCTTGTTAAATGTTTCAGTAGTCAAAATTTGGATAATGTACTAATAATTTTAAAACAAATTTCTATTGCTATGAAAATGGGAATTTCTAAATCCAAAGTTTGATAGTAAGAGATACTTTCTATGAAATATGAGCCTTGGATTTGTAGTCAGAAGATTCAGGCTCAGTTCCAAACTCTAGCTATGTGATGTTGGGCAATTAAGTTAACATTCTGTCTCTCAGCATTATCTTCTATAAAGTGGATTATGTGATAACACCCTTTAAAAGGATCCTCCTACCTTTAATATCTTTTGAAGAGTTTAAGATGTTAAGCAACATTAAAAAAGACTGACTTTTAAAGTTAAAGTTTATTTGCTAAACACTTCACTTAGTGAATAATCCTCTATTCATAGGACAATTTGGTAATTTTGCTAAAATTACGCTAATATTAAGAAGTTTCCCCAAATATCCAATATACCTATAAATTCTCACAGCCCCTCCCAAATTGGCAAGATTCACAATCCAGGCAGTCCGATTTCTAGTCTACAAGTCTAAAATTTGGCTGCTTGTAAGAATACACTAAGGTGTTTTAAAAAATACTTAGATCCCACTCTCTGGTATTTTATTTGTTCTGGAATGAAACCTGGGCTTCTAAATTTTTGACATCTCCCAAGTTACTCCACTATAGAGCCAAAGTTAAAAGTGACTGTTCTACTTAATACACTCTCTTCTTTTCAATGGATAGTTCCTCTACAGAACAAGTGTTTCACCTCTTGCTGTCTACTTTGATGAAGTGTTTGATTTTGTATTGCTCCATAAGCCCTTTGAAGGAGCTCTGGTAGCATAGTGGTTACAAATTGGGCTGCCAATCTCATAGTCAGCAGTTCGAAACTACCAGCTGTTCCGTGGGAGAAATTTGGGCTTTATGCTCCTATAAAGATTTATAGCCTCGTAAACCCTGGACCAAGAAGCAGTTGTTTGAACAGAGCATGGGAACACTGAATGTTTTAAAATTGGGAAAGGTGTGTGACAAGGTTGTGTTCTTATTCAACCTGTATGCTGAGCAAATACTACGAGAAGCTGGGTTCTATGAAGAAAAACGTGGTGTCAGGACTGGAGGAAGACTCATTAACAACCTGCGATATGCAGATGATACAGCCTTGCTTGCTGAAAGTGGAGAGGACTTAAAATATTAAAAAGTGAAGATCAAAGAGCACAGCCTTTGGTATGGGTTGCATCTCAATGTCAGGAAAACAAAAATCCTCACCACTGGACCAATAAACAACATTCTTATCAACAGAGAAAAGATTGAAGTTGTCAAGGACTTCATTCTTCTTGGATCAACTATCAACACTCGCGGAAGCAGCAGTCAAGAGATTAGATGATGTATTGCATTGGGCAAATCTGCTGCACAGGAACTTTTTAAAGTGTTGAAGAGCAGAGATGTCAGCTTGAGGACTAAGGTGTGCCTGACCCAAGCCATGATATTTTCAATAACCTCATATGGATGCAAAAGCTGGACAGTGAATAAGGAAGATCGTAGAAGAATTGATGCCTTTGAGTTGTGGTGTTGGAGGAGAATACTGAAAGTGCCATGGACTGCCAAAAGAACCAATAGATCTGTTTTAGAAGGAGTGCAGCCAGAGTGCTCCTTGGAGGCTAGGATGGCTAAGCTTTGTCTCTCATACTTTGGACATATTGTCAGGAAGGAACAATCTCTGGAGAAGGATGTTATGCTGGGTAAGGTGGAGGATCAGAGAAAAAGAGGAAGACCCTCAATGAGATGGATCAGCCAGGTGGCATCATTGATGGACTCAAGTGTGGCAGTGGTAGTGAGGTTGGCCCCGGATCGGACATTGTTTCGTTCTGCTGTGCCTGGAGTCACTATGAGTTGGTTCCGACTCGATGGCACCTGACAACAACAACAAACCCTGTACAGGGTCGCTATGAGTCGGAACCGACTCCACGCACATAACAACAACAACATAAGCCCTTTGAGATCTAATCTCTGTAAATAAAAGTACTCTTACGGTATACTGTCAGTGCTTCCTTTCAGTAATGATTTTGTTCTTCTACTGTACAAGTTTATGTGGCTCTATTTTTCCCCTTTTGCTGATGTTTCAGTTTTAATAAGTTGCTATTTATTGACTCGGGGTCATTACTTCACAGTTGCCATGAAGATGATTAATGTAAAAGAAATGATGCGAGACTATGAAAGAAGCTTGTTGTGCTTTGAGAATTATATGGATGTTATATCATTGAAATCAATAAAATATTTAATTTTAGAGCTAAATAGAACCTTCATTTGATTCCACCTTTTTTTAAAATGATGAAAGCGAAACGAAGAGAGAATATGGAATAAGGTTGTATCTTAATAAGGTTGTATCTTTACTGTTGCTTTCAAGTCTGTTCTGACTCATAGCCACCCTGTTTCTGAGAAACAGCTGATGGGTTTGAACCATCAACCTTATGGTTAGCAGTCTAGTGCTGATCCTACAGCTTCACACAAGGACTCTGTATCTTTACTAGTTGCATTTAAAATGAGCAACAGACCTTAAAATGGCAGTAGGATGTGCCATAATTCACAATGTATGTTTTCAGTTGAAAACAACAACAACAACCAACCAAACTAGCTTTATCCAAATAATGACCATCAATGGGATACTAAAGTCCATTGCTGTTGTTAAGTGCCATTGATTCTGACTCATAGTGACCCTGTATCGGATTTCCATGGAACAGCTGGTGGGTTTGAACTGCCAACCTTGTGGTTCACAGTCCAGTTCTAATCTTACAGTGCCACATCAGGTGTGCATTAAGGTCCATATTTGCCCTCAAATGTTATAACACTTATACATGTATTAAGATGGTCAGTGTGCATATTGTATAAATATGACCCTTAAGTACATTTAAAGGAAATATCCTTATTAGCTTTTATCCTCTGGAGTTTGGGTGGTAAAAGCTTCTATTTTTAAGTTAATAAGTCTTTAGGAAATATCTTTTATCAAGAGCATTTTTATGTTGTTTATAAATTGGCCAGGAGGGTGAGTGCAGAGACAAAATGATTTAGACAAGAAATAACCATTTTGGTTATAGTGTAGGGATAGAGATCTCTTTTTAACTGTATTTTGTTGCTGACAATTGTGATATACCAAAAAGATGGGCTAGCATTTTAATGTCTGTTATTCTTAATAAACCTAGAAAAGTCACAGAGCCCTGGTGGCACAGTAGTTCAGCGCTCAACTGCTAACAGAAAGGTCAGAGGTTTGAACACCCTGCTGTTCTGAGCAAGAATGGTCTGCTAGTCTGCTTCCATAAAGATTATGGCCTTAGGAACACTAATGTTGTTAAGGGCCATCAAATTGGTCCAATGGCGACCCGTATAGGGTTTCCAAGGAGCACCTGGGAAGTTTGAACCACTGACTTTATGATTCAAACCTACCTTGTGGTCTAGTGCTTATTCTGTAGCACCACACCAGGACTCCCTGCCTTGGGACACTGTGGAGCAGTTCTATTCTGTCATATAGGGTCTCTATGAGTCGGAATTCACTGGATGCCAGTAGCTTAATCCATAGGCATTTGGGGAGAATTGCATGGAAAACACAAAATAAGTACTAAAGATATTAGCTGTTGTCATCTGAACTGGAGTGGCAAAGGATTATAATTTACTCCAATTAATAACTTGGGCATTTTGACTTTGGCCATAGTCACCTACTTACTCTCTTGGATTAAGTCATGTGGAATTGAAAACAAAGAAGATGTCATTTGTTAACCTAAATTTGCTATAGGATAGGAACTGGACCACAAGTTTGATTTGAAATGTAAGGTCAGTGATTCAAATTTACCAGCTGCTCCTTGGAAACCCTATACAGGGTTGCTAGGATTCAGAAACGACTCTATGGCACTTAACAACAACAAATATTGTAAAACTGAATTTTGATTATTTTTATATTGTTGAGCCTGTTTGGTGAGAACAAGCTGTTAAAACATTTTGATAAGCTGGGTAGATTTTTTGTAATACATTTTTCTCTTTCCCATGTGTTTTCAGTGTAACTGTATATTCTCGCTCTCTCTCTCATTTCCTCACCTTCTTAGTGGGTTGGCCTTTTTGTTACGATAATAAGGATAGTTTACCTAAAACCACTCATATGTTATTGTCACGTAGGCTCTAGAGTTGTTGGTATATATACTTCTTGAGAAATACTCATGGCCATTGCTTAGTATGTATTGAAGGGAATTGTTGCACTCTGCTGTGTGCTGGGTACAGAATGTAATTAAAGCCATCATTCAAGAAGTCTTACAGGGGCCTTTTGTTTGATCTACAGATTCAAAATGATCAGTGCCAGGAGATGGATACCACCACAGAAAAGTGGGTAAAACTCACAGACAACGGAGAATGGGGCTCTCATTCTGTAAGTTTCTTTGTTCTTTTTTCCTTTTGCCCATGAACCACATACTTACCCTTTCCTCTTTCCAAGCCGTCTTAAAAATTTATTTTAAGGAAAAAATATTACAATTATCTATTGGTTTCCATAATTTATAGTTAGGGAAGAAACTTGCCCCCAAGTTTCATGGATTCAGATTCTTTCTAGAGAATTATTTCCTACTTCTTGATTTCTTCATAGGTTCCGTTCTAGTCCCTTTCCCTTCATATCTTGTTTTCTTTTCCCCCTCTCAAAGAAACAGTAACAAGAAATAAGAGTATTCAAAACAGATACACAAAGCCTCTAACTATGTTAGTCTATGTTTGTGCTTGGGACATGTGATGGCATAACTGACTCTTGGCAGTGAAAGGATCTTTGAGTTATTTTCATCCAACTTTCTCTGTATTGTCCCCAACAAATGATTTTCAAGCTTGATTTGTGGGGGATTGTACTGTCTGATACAATACACTGTCTGATACATGACACTCATCCATGTTTGAAGTCTAAACCTGTGCCATATGTATTTGTCATTCATAAATCAAAGTTTAACCTTCTCTGATCACATTGAGTAAAGCAACTACTTATATTCATAGGATGACTCTTTAAATGCTTGATGGCAATTATTAGGTAATGTGATTTCATAAATCTGTTGTTATTTGAGGTACTGTTCATTTGTAATCAAATATAGATTTAAATTCTAGCTTTGACTTATAGAGAAGTTATACTGCTTTAGGCAAGTTACTTAATCTCCTTAAGTTTTATTTTTCATTTGAGAAATGGGGATAATTTTGTAGGATTATTGTGAGGATTAAGTGAGTTGAAAGATGAGAAGGACCTTGTGTAGTATTACCAATGTAGATTTATCTGTTTCAGTTAAGTGACAACCTCTCCTTGCATTTGTGGCTCTAGTTTTGGTGATTAATTGAAGATGCCTTTTCATAATCTTTTTTTTATTTATATACAAGTGGTAAAAAATGGTATTTTTACCACTTGTCATCCATTCACCTAGTCATCTGGGCTATAAAGGTACAGTAACCCTTGGCAACGAACATACGTTCCTTGCTTACACACACTTTGTAATAAGGGAAAAGTACTTAGTACACTGCTTCTGTCAATTTCTAGAAGGTGAAGTAGTTGGATGTGGTTTAATTTTATACAACGTTAGCTTGACTAGCCAGAGTCTGCATAAAAGAATAAAGATGGCAGCTAGAACGCAAGAAATTTTTTAAGTTGCTTTTCTTGTCCTGAATCAATATGGAATTTATCAAAATTTAGTTTGATTTGTAATTGGAAATACACTCCAGTGACAAAGGAGGTAAATATTGGATACAATAGTATCTTTTACATTTTGGAGTTAGAGTTAATATTCATTCTATAAAAACAATGCTATTTTCTCTTGTGTCTTTGTACTGCCATTAATTAAAGGATTTTAAGAAAGGCAAACTCATTCTGTTGCCTTTTTGCTTTTAGAGCTCAAAGATCTACTTATGAATTGTTGCAGCTTATTACATATGTGTGTCGGCTGTGTGACTCTTGCCCTCTAAATGGACTCTCTTGTAAATATAAACCAAAATACTCTATGGTTTGGGAATCAGTTTTTCTTTTTTTTCCTTTGGACTTGAATTTCTTCTATAGTTTTTTTTTTTTTTCCCACTTTGGCAAACCAATTTTTTTTTTTTTTCTAATTAGCAAATATTAACTTCAGCAGGGCCTAGATCTGAATTAACAGCAGACTAAATTTGTAGGTACTAATTAATGGTGTTTCATTGTAATACATTGAAAAAGTATATAAGAGAATAGCTTTTGGCTACGGAAGTACTGGAAGTAGCATAGTTTATCTGATCTGGGTATCTTGTATTTCCCTCCACAGGTAATGCTGAAATCAGGCACAAACATACTGTACTGGAGAACTACAGGCATCCTTATGGGCTCAAAGGCAGTTAAGCCTGTATTGGTAAAAAACATCACAATTGAAGGTATTTACAGCATCCTAGTGTCCTAGTCACCTATCACATCTTACAGTTAATTAAAATACTATTGGACTGTTGATTTGGCTAGTATAAGGATTATTAGGGCAGGGACAGAGGAATTAAGATAGAGACATTAGAATAGTTTGGAGATCCTGGTTTTATTCCAAGCATGATGATTGTTTTTGAAGCCTTGAAATGAATTATTTAATCATTATAAAATAATTATCATGATGACAATTGTAGCTGTCTTTGAATTAAAAAAAATTATGATAATAGGAGCCTATTCATTTTAGAAATGTCTACTGTGCCAGGCAAATACACATAGACATACATATATATGGAGTCCTGGTATAGCACTGTAACATAAGCACTGGACCGATAAGTGTAAGTTCAGTGGTTCAAACCTACCAGCTGCTCTTCAGAAACACTATACAAGTTGCTATGAATCAGTCACCTCAATAGTACTTAACCATTGTTATTGTCAAGTGCTGCTCAGTTGGTTCCAACCCATAGTGACCCTGTATAGATTTTCCAAGGAGTGGCTGGTGAGCTTGAACTACTGACTTTGTGGTTCAAATCGACTTTGCAGTCTAGCACATTAACCCACAGTGCCATGACGCCTAACAACAGTAGCAACATATATATAATCATACACATACATTTGTTGTTGTTGTTGTTGGATGCCATCTCATAGCGGCCCTATACACAACAGAACATAACACTGCCCTGTCCTGCATCATACACAAACTGTTATGTTTGAGCCCATTGTAGCTCAATCATTAGGGATCCTCCTCATTTTCGCTGATCCTCCACTTGACCAAGCGTGATGTTTTCTAGGGATTGGTCCTTTTTGACCACATGACCAAAGTACAAGAAATGAAGTCTTGTCATCCTAACTTCTAAGACACATTCTGGATGTACTTCTTCTAAGACAGATTTCTTGGTTCTTCTGGAACTCCATAGTACTTTTAATATTCTTTGCCAACACCAAAATTCAAATGCAGTGATTCTTCTGTGGTCTGCCTTCTCATTATCCAACTTTCACATGCATATGAATCAACTGAAATACCATGACTTGGGTCAGGCACACTTTAGTTATCAAACTGACATATTTGCTCTTTAACACTTTAAAGAGCTCTTTTGCAGCAGGTTTCCCTAATGCAATACGTCATTTAATTTCTTGACTACTGTTTCCATGAGTGTTGATTGTGGATCTAAGTAAAATGAAGTCACTGACCACTTCATTCTTTTCTCCATTTATCATGATGGAGATTAATTACTGGTCCAGTTATGAGGATTTTTGTTATCTTTACACTGAGGTGAAATCCATAGTCTGATAACCAAGTCTTTGATCTTTGTTAGTAAGTGCTTCAAGACCTCTTCGCTTTCAGCAAGCATATTGCAGATTGTTAATGAGTCTTCCCTCCAATCCTGTTGCCATAATCTTCTTCATAAGTCCTCTTTGAATTATATGCTCAGCATTCAGATTCAATAAGTATGGTGAAATGATATAAGTATGGTGGAAACCTTTCATGATTTTAAACCATTCAATATCCCCTTATTCTGTTCAAACAACTGTTTCTTGCCCTATGTACAAGTTCCTCATGAGCACAGTTAAGTGTTCAGGGTTTCCTATTCTCAACTATGTTATCCATAGTTTTTCTATGATGAAAACAGTCACAAATGCCTTTACATAGTCAATAAAGCAAAATAAGTATCTTTTTGGTACTCTCTGCTTTCAGCCAATTTCCATCTGACATCAGCAATGATGTGCCTTGCTCCACGTCCTCTTCTGAATCTAGCTTGAATTTCTGGCAGTTTCCTGTCTGTGTACTACTGTAACTGTTTTTGAATTTTCTTAAGGAAAATTTTACTTGCATATAATATTAATGTCATTGTTTGATAATTTCCACATTCCATTTGGTCACCTTTCTTTGGAATGGGCACAAATACGGATCTCTTCCAATCAGTTGTCTTTTAAATTTCTTGGCATAGACGAGTGAAGGCCTCCAGCACTGCATCAGGTTTTTGGAACTTTTCAATTTGTTTTCTGTGAATTCCTGAAATCTTGTTTTTTGACAATTTTTTCATTGCAGCTTGGACTTATTCCTTCAGTATCATCAGTTGTTGATTATATGGTACCTCTTGAAATGATTGAACATTGACCAGTTATTCTTGGTACAGTGACTCTGCACAATCCTTCTATCTTCTTTTGATGTTTCCTGTATCATTTAGTATTTTACTCATAGAATCCTTCAGTATTGCAACTTGAAGCTTAAACTTTTTCTTCATTTCAACTTAAGAAATGTTGAATGTTTTTGTGCTTTTGATTTTCTAACTCCAGTCTTTGTACATTTCATTGCAACACTTGTCTTCTTGAGCTGTTCTTTAAAATTTTTTGTTTGGTTTTGCAAAAAAAAAAAAAAAAAGGCACCAATTATTCTTCCTGCAACACTCTCTACTCCACTGACAACTGAGTGTGATAATATTATTAGGGAAGTTAAGAGGTTACAATGAAGGGTCAGAAGATCACAGGGCACGGTTGTTCCTGTCTCACAGCCAAGCCTTGCTCTGCCCAACCAATATTACAAAGTTTTTTAGGATTACTAATAAAGGCCTGTAGGACACACTATTCCACCATAAGACTCAGCCACCTGAAGACACTTGCTTCTAGCTCTGTGGGTTAGCAAACCTAGCTCTCCCACTTAAGTGGTTGGACGCACCTTACTTTATAAGCAAACTCATTCAGTTTTACTTGCTCCATGGGCTGGGAGGCCCACCACTTTGTCTTGTTACCTAGCTCTTGGGTTTACAGCTGCTGCGGCGGCGGCTCTGCTGCTGTCACAGTTTTCTGTTCCTGGGTTAAGGAGGTTCAATGTGCACTTGGGTCCAAAGGATGCACATCGCTTCTGAATCTTCTTTGATAGTAGTGAGATCCCCTATTTTTGCTTTTGTGGTGGCTCATTTTATACACGTTAGAGTTCAGGTTTTTATAATCACAGTTAACTCTTGTTAACCATTCACAAATGAATCATATAATCCTGTCAGCATATCCTCCCATCTTCTCTTATCTAGACCTATCAAGGCAAAATGCTGTTTGGTGGGAGTTTACAAACAGTATGGCTAGAAGAGACACCGAATAATTCACTCCACTACAAACTCTTTTACTTCTTCATTTCTTTCCATTGCTTTAGCTTCTCTGCTTTCAAGAGCAAGTTTCAGTCTCTTCTGACATCCATTTTGTTCTTTTCTTTCTTTCCTGTCTTTTTAATGGCTTTTCGCTTTCTTCATTTATTATGTTCTTGGTCTTCAATCTTTAGTGTCAAATGTATCACATCTATTCTTCAGATGGTTTCTAAATTCAGGTAGGATATACTTAAGGTCATATTTTGGCTCTCATGGACTTGTTCAATTTTCTTCAGTTTCAGCTTGAACTTTGCATATGAGCAATTGATGGTCTGTTTCACAATCTACCCCTGGCCTTGTTTTGGCTCATGGTACTGAGTTTTTTCATCTCTTCCCACAAATGTAGCCAATTTGATTTCTGTGTATTCCACTTGGTGAGTTTCAAGTGTAAAGTTGCCATTTATGTTGTTGAAAGCATCTGCAATGAATATGTCATTGATCTTGCCAGATTTTATCATGTGAACTCAAGCATCATTTCTATTACCAAGGTCATATTTTATAACTATCAGTCCTTCTTCTTTGTTTCCAGCTTTCACATTCCAATCATCAGTAATTATCAGTGCATCTTGATTGCGCATTTGATCAATTTTCACACTGAAGAAGTTGGTAGACTTATTCAATTTCATCATCATTGGCTTTAGTGGTTGGTGCATAACTTTTGAACATTTTTATCCTATCACAACTATTATCACATATGTCATCTTAAAACAGACAGCATTGCATTTCAAGATAGATGTTGAACCACTCTTTTTGATGTTGGCATAATAAACTATATGATTGTCTGATTCAAAATGGCCAATACTAGTCCATTTCAGCTCACTGATGCCTAGGATATTAATCTTTATTCCATTTCATTTTTGATGACTTCTAGTTTTCCTAGATTCCTATTTCATACATTCCACATTTCGATTATTGGTCGATGTTTGCAGCTATTTCTTCTCATTTTCATCTTTACCCCATCTGCAAATGAAGGCCCTGAAAGTGTTACTCCATCCACATCATTAAAGTCAACTCTACTTTGAGGATGCAGGTCTTCCCTAGTCTTATACTGAGTGCGTTCCAACCTGAGGGGCTAATCTTCCAGTACTGTATCAGGCAAGGTTCTGCAGTTATTCATAAGGTTTTCAGGGGCTAAACAGTCAGAAATGGTCTGCTTCTCCGTCTTCCTAGTCTGCTTAGCCTTGAAGCTCAGTTGAAACATGTCACTATGGGTTATCCTGCTCGTATTTAAATACCTCTGGCATAACTTCCAGCATCACAGCAACACACAAACCACCACAGCGTGACAGACTGACAGATGAGTGGTGGAACAATATATACACACATACATACGTATATGTCTCTACTATAGCTATGGTGGTGTTGTTAGATGATGCTCATAAAAACCTCACGTGACAGACTGGAACTGCCCTATTGGGTTTTCTAGGCTGTAATATTTAAGGGAGCACATTGCCTGGTCTTTCTTCCATGGAGCTGCTGGATGAGTTTGAACTACCAACCTTTTGGTTAGCAGCTACTACTTAGCTGTTGTGTCACCATGTTGTAGTTGGTTTCATCAAGTTGATTTTTGATTCATAATAATCCCCTGTGCCGGAATAGAACTTCCCCCATAGGGTTTTCTAGGCTGTAATCTTTATGGGAGTAAATCACCAGGTGTTTTTTCCACAGAGCGACTGAGTGGGTTTGTTAACACTTGAGAGCATAACAATTGTACCACAAGGGCTACTTGTGCCGCCATATTAACCTGTCTCCAGGTAAATGTTGCCCTTTTCATCTTGAATGATTGACCATTCCATGGTGAGCATACCTCACAAATGTTGCCCCCACTATAGACCTATCTACTGCTTGGTTGCAAATTGGGCCATGAGGGTGAGCTCATTTCAGACTTTTAGGGTGGCCGAAAGCCATAGTCTCTGGTTCCTCCAGTCTCTTCTGACCAGTAAGCCCAGTCTTTTTTATATAATTTTGATTTTTGTTCCTCATTGGTTTCCACTCTCTTTGGAACCTTCTAATGGGATCCTTTTCAGAGTAGCTGATAGTGACAGCCGGGCACCATCTAGTTCTTCTGGTTTTAGAATCATAAAGATTTATGTTCACATGTTCCACTAGTTCATTGGACTAATTGATTCCAAGCATCTTCAATTTTCATCCCTTTGCTTTCTTCTGCTCATGGAGAGACCAATAACTAACTGCACCTTAGATGGCTGCTCATGATTTTAAGATCCCAGACACTATTCGCCAAAGCAGGATGTAGAGCATTGTTGTTGTGGTCTATTATGCCGGTTGACCATGGTGTCCCCTGAGAGTCTGGTTCTGAGACCAGCAGGCTCAATTAGGACTACTTTTAATTAAAGCAGTGCTTCTTGTTACTGACGTTCGCTTTTTATTTTAATTGTTCCAAGTGTGCTTGTTCCCGTGACATTAACTCATTAGTTAGAGGGACCTCTGCTGGCAGAGGCCATAATTAAAAACCAGAAGACAAGTCAAGACTGTTAGGTATTTTGTGACTTGATGAGTGGGAGAGAAACAATAATGGGTTTCCACAAAAATAGGAGAACAAGCTTTTAATATTTGAGGGGAATGTCAAATTTATTGTATTTCTAGTTAGTGGAATCGTCTTGTAAGGCTCAAAGCCTTTAGCTTATATATTTGCTATAAATTATTAAATCTCAATCTTTTAAGTGTTTGCTCCACTTAAAGTGCTTTATTTAGTATTCATGCCAGTACCTTGTGAATGGTTTAATACTCTGTCATTGTTTAATTAACAAATGAGATCTTATGTTAGTCCTGATCTATTGTGCTGTTAGCTTCTCTACTTCTAGATAGAAGCGGCAAGTAGGTGTGGATGTCCTTATTAATGCTGAGCCTTCCCTCCCATTCTCTGCTTTCTTTCTCACAGGAGTGGCATACACATCAGAATGCTTCCCATGCAAGCCAGGCACATTCAGCAACAAACCAGGTTCGTTCAACTGCCAAGTGTGTCCCAGAAATACCTATTCTGAGAAGGGAGCCAAAGAATGCCTCAAGTGTAAAGAGGATTCCCATTTTTCAGGTAAGATGGTACTTTATCAGTTTACACAGATTCTTCCTTAATTTGTGATTGTAGACTGTACATTTGTGTGATGGAAGTTCACACATAAAGTGGGATAGAGCAATGGATATGAGCAGACAGAAAAATGCTAAAGTGAATCAGGAGTAAATGAGTAAACTTTATGACTTTCTTTACCTCCTCCTGTATTACTTTCCCCATTGTTTATGATTTTTTCTATCCCACATCCCACAGGTGACTGGTATGAATATGTTTATATTAATCCAAAAAAAAGAAAGAAAAGAAAAGAAAAACATTTGTATTCTACTTTTAGGTGATTAGCTGGCATTAGATATGCTTCAGAACTTTTAAACTTGTTCTCAATTTCTAATATTCAGTGTTAGTGGGAGAAATCTAATGTCTTCTTAGAGAAACTGAATTGCATCATGTGCAGCATGAAAACATTGATTATCCTAGGGAAATAAGCATGTAAGTTCTTATTTTCCTGAGGCCTAGAAGTTCTACCTACTTTATTTCTGGTAAGATTATTTTCTCTTTTTCAGTTGTCTGCTTGTCTTTTTTGGCCTTTTCTCAGATTCACAAGCATTTTACCATTTCTGGAATGTATTTTTATGTTACAGAGGAAGGATCCAGTGAGTGCATGAAACGCCCTCCCTGTACCGCAAAAGACTATTTCCAGATCCATACTCCATGTGATGATGAAGGAAAGGTACATATAGTTAGTGCTCAGTCACCTTCATCCCAAATTTACTTAACCCTCCTCTCAACTTTGATTAAACTCAAATTTATTCATGGAAGATTAAATTAATCGATTAGAGCACATTTGCAAGGTGTAGTACAGAGAGACTGAAGTGTTTAGGTTCCGCAACCTGACTGTGTCTTTCTGCTACGTATTAGTGCAAGTTACTTGATGTATCCAAGCTTCAGGGTTTTCATCTGCAAAATGGAAATAATCAGTATGCACTGGACTGCAGGGTTGGTTTGAACGCAAGGTCGTGAGTTTCAACTCACCAGCTGCTCCTTGGAAATGCTATACAGAGTTGCTATGAGTCAGAACCAACTCGACAGCACTTAACAACAACTTCTAACGTACTGCAGTGAGAATATATGAAATACTCACTGGAAAGTTCCTAACACAGTGCCCGACACATAGTGAGTACTTGATACATTACTGCTGTTTAGCAGTTAGACTTTTTCAGAAGTGATAACATTAGTGGAGTCCTCACGGGTGCTGTAGGGTAAGCATTGTATTGCTAACTGAAAGGTCAGCAGTGCAGACCCCCCAGTTGCTCCTCAGAAATCCTATACAGTGTTGCTGTGGTTTGGAACCGACTTGATGATGCTTAACAAGACAAATAATATCAGGAGGAGCACAGTCTTAAAATGTGTATGATGACTCACAGGATAGAAATACCCTGCAACTTCCCTTTACTTATTTGATTACTCAGTAGGCTTTGTCAATAAAATCAGGTAGCCATAGGCTAATTTGGTTATGGCAGATTACTGTGCAATTGCTTTTAGGAAATGCTAAGTAATTACCATATAAATGGTGCTTATTCAGGAGAGAAATGCTCAAATATACTCTATAGTCTTTACAGTTGACCTGCCATTGTCTTTATTCAAGAATCAGCGTGTACCAGCTTCTGTCTGTAAGGAGAGAACGCTATGAAGATGACTGCTGTGCAGGGTTACCATGTGTAGGGTTACATCCTTTGAAATAATTTTTTTTTCTTTTTTTACATATTTACTGTGAATCGAGTGAAAGTTTACAGGGCAGATTATCAATTTAATTGCTGTTTAAATTACTATTTCTGTTTTAAAAAATCTGTGTAGAGAATTGCTGCTAAAGATAGTTTAAAAAAGAATATTTAAAAAAAAAATTAATTTCTTATAAAGCCACCTTATTGAAAAATAAGACAAAAGTGAATTGAGTTTATTTTATATTGTTGTTTTTGCTAAGTTTCATAGAGTCGGTTCCTACTCATAGCGACCCTATATAGGGTTTCCAAGGAGTGGCCGGTGGGTTTGAACTGCCAACCTTGCGATTCAAACTGACTTTACGGTTGAGTGCTTATCCTATCACACTACACCAGGACTCCTTATTTTATATAATGGTTGTTTATTCAGCATTATTGATGCTTAAATGAATGTGATATAATCTAGTGAACAATCTTGACCTTTAGTATATTGAAAATATCCCCATATTTTTATTACTTGTCAATTTTTATTATATGTCAATGAGTAGTTGACCGATGTGACACAATCTAGTCAACATAAACCAAAAGGAAGTGAGTCCATCTGATGCACACAGTACATGCATATGCACGTACAGTCTCATATGCACACACATGCACACACAGACATGCTGTGTAAACATACACATTACGTTTTCTTCTTGAGGCTGAGTAAATTCTGAGCATGTTCTTGGTATTGAACACAATGAATGACAGTGACTGTTTACAAAGTGATTTACAATCTATTTTAAGATACTTGTTTCTAATTTCAGAAGTAAATGAAGTGCTGAGCAATGGAAAGTTAATGAAATAATATATATAGTTCAAAATCAAGTTGTCAGCAAGGTGGTTTCTGGAAGCTCTAAGGCTCCACTTCCCTTTTTAGCTTCTGGTGACTGCCTACAATCCTTGGTGGCCCATGCTTTGTAATCGCGTAACTCCAACCTCTGCCTCTGTCTTCATGTGATCTTCTCTCCTCCTGTCTTCTCCTGCTGCCTTTCTGTTTTCTTACAAGGACAAATAGCATTGGCTTTAGGACCCACCCTAAATTCAGGGTGATTTCATTTCAAGATCTTTAACTTATTTACATCTGCAAAGATCCTTTTCCAAGTAAGGTCATATTCACAATACTGGGGTTAGGACTTCAACACCTATTTTTTTTAAGAGAATGCCATTCAACTCACTACAGATAATTAGTTTTCAGTTAAATTGTTCATAAAGAACAGCCAGTTTCTTACTTGATTATCCATCTACAAAGACTGCCTTATAGCAACAGATGTCAACATTGCAAAACTTGTGAAGATAGAGCCTTTCGGGAGTCAGTAACTTACAGAAAAGGCTTAGAGTCTCGTTTATTTGGGCACTAAGGAGCTCTGGTAGCGTAGTGGTTACGAATTGGGCTGCGAACCTCAAGGTCAGCAGTTCGAAACTACCAGCTGTTCCATGGGAGAAAGATGAGGCTTTCTGCTCCTGTAAAGATTTACAGCCTCAGAAACCCTGTACAGGGTCGCTATGAGTTGGAATTGACTCCATGGCGCATAACAACAACAACAGGACAAAACAAGAGTAGCTTGTGTTTTGTTTTTTTATCTTAGGGTATCTAGTGGCCTTATTTTCTTTCCTGATTTTGGGATGTGATACACATGTTTTCTTAGTGGTGACAGAGCAGGGTGTCAGGTTTTTTCTATGTTGGGGATAATTATAATGCTCTGGACCAACTTTAATTAAAAAATATTTTACAAAAATTGGATAAGGAAGATTGGCTTGTTCATATGAGAAATAGAATATCAGGACTTTAATTTGCAAATGACAGAAATTTAACTGACAGCAATATAACAAAATGCAATATTGGGATGGGGTTTGTTAACTTTTATAATTAGTAAGTTAATATAGATCGAATAATTTCATCTAGACTTTTCTCTTGCTCTTTCTTGTTAATATTTTTGGCTCAATTTGATTTCCTTCTCAGATAGACTCTTTTCTTATGATGCTCCTGTGGCCACTGTATCCAAACCACTGTCTTCCTAACAGCTTTTGATCCTAGGAGGGCGGGCCAGTTTCAGAAATGATTTTGATTGGTCCTGCTTGAATCTGAGCCCATCTCACACCAGCCATTTAATCTGTGGGATACTCTGGCTCAACAGTTTAGTTTACCAGCCAACCCTTGTGTCTGGGAAGCCGGACCATACGTCTAGCAACACCTAAACAGAAAAAGTCAGTCTCAGTTACTTAAATAAATAGGAATTCTGTGCAGATTAATAGAAAGCATACACTACTAAGTATCATAAATACATCTGTATTTCAAGAGTATCTTGATATATTAGGAATTTTCATGCAGTATTTTCCATACCTCTCTTGATATTGGCATGGTAATCATTGAACAGTGTTAGTGTTTTGCTATCACATTATTTGATTATAAATACTTATTTAGATGACCACTTCTTCCACAGGATGCTCAGCTTCTGATAGCCAGCAACTGGTGTTTTGTTTCAGTATTTTTATTTTGTATTTTGAAACTTTTTGCTGTAAATTGAGTGACGGTTTACAAAGCAGACCATCAGTTTTCCATTAAACAAATCATTCACTTCGTTTCATCTCGATGTTCACAGTCTCCTCCAGGCACCAACAGTTATCCCACTTCCTCCCTGTGGTTCCTCTTTCCATTCCATCCTCCTTTCCATTCCTTCTGAACTTTGCCCTGAAGTAAATGTTGCTCATTTAATCTGGAATGGTTGATCATCCCGTGATGTGATGAGCATACCTTATGAGTGCTGCTGTCTCCTACTAGATACCTATCTACGCTTGCCTGAAAATTGAGCCATGAGGGTAAAATCTGTTCCAAACCTGAAGGGTGGTCTAGGACCATAGTCTTGGGTCCCTCCAATTTCTTTCTGACCAATAAACCCAACCTTTTAACACATACTTTTGATGTTTTTTACACATTTTCTCCCACTCTCTCTGGGACCTTCCACTGTGATCCCTTTCAGAGCAAGCAACTATTTTTTAATCATTGAAAATCATAAACAAAAATCCTCTGAACCTATTAGAGTACCTGGCACACTGATGACAGTGAAGTCGTTGTTGAATGGGAGAATTAATAACAGAATGAATGAATGAATACCACATTTGGAATTTTGTGTTCTGTTTTAAGCACAAGGTTTAAAATCTTAAACATTTGAAGAGAAGCTTGTTGTTGTTGTTAAGTACCCTTGAGTTAGTTCTGACTCATAGCAACCCTGTATAGGGTTTCTAAGGAGCAGCTGATGAGCTTGAACTGCCAACCTTGCAGTTCAAATTGACCTTGCAGTCTAGCCCATTAATCTTCAGTGCCACACCAGGAAGAGAAATCTAGAAAAGAAGAAAGAGATCTTTTATAAGGCAAAATTTTGACTAATCAGGAAAACTTACAGAAGGTCAATTCCAGTGTGGTGCAGTCCTAGAAAGCAGGTTTTATCTAATAAAGAACTTCCTACCAAGGTTAGAAGAGTACCTGATAGGGAAGAATATATTAGAAGGGAACCTTCTGAAGATAAAGTATTAGACTATGCAATATCTCCACCTCTGTGAATTCATGATGATTTTAGAAGGGGTTAGTAGTGATTTGGTATCAGTTGTTTTCTGTTGTCTGTGCCCTTAATGATCTTCAGTAGTGCTTAATGTCTGTAGCACAGTATTTCTGAATTATATAGCAGGAGTGAGATGCAGGATCTTACAAAAATATGTATAAAGGAATATGGTTTTTAGATATGCCTTTCTTCCTACATAATTAGCTATGCTAAAAGTTAAGCATACTTGGGGCCTACATATCTTAATTAGGGGAATGGGAATACAACGTAGTATTTCTCAGCAGCTAGATATTTCTGAATTTATGGGAAGTAAAAATTTCCTCATAGTCTTAAAAAAATATATTTCTAACAGCTTTATTGAGATATAATTCTCATTTAAGATGTACAATTCATTTTTTTTTTTTGAAAAAAAAAAAAAAATTTTCACAGGACCATGGAGCCTTACCCACACCTAATTTTAGAACATTTTTGTACCTAAATGCTCTGGGTAGAATTTACAGCATGATGTTAACTCTCTGCAGTGTCTGCAACATAAAAGAAAAAAAGCCTAGACTCCTAGTTATTTGGAAAAAGAATAAGATGGTGTTCCCATAGGGGAACACCTAAAAAACTCAAAGGCTTCTAGAAAGAATCCAAATTGGTGCTGATATGTATATAGGGGGATTGAGAATTTGCCTAGGTCAGGTGTGGATGTTGAGTATGATTTTGATGGTGGGGTCCAATACAACCTGACAACATGGTGGATAGTTCAAGAGACAATTGATGACTGTCCAGTTATAGGGGTAAGGAGGCAAGCAGTAGCCTGCCTGCCTGCCTAGGACCCTTTGAGCCAGAACATCATGGGAAACAAGGCAGTTAGGTTAGAGTGACAGTTGAGAGGTCCTTTTCCAGCACATGTGATTTAGCTCTGATGACCTCAATCAGTCTACAAAGTCATAGTGCATTTGGGCAGGGACATTTGAAGGAATAAAGCAGGTAACATGTACATGTTTAATTTAAAAGTTTGTGAAGAATCTTGTCCTCCCAGTCTAGAATTTTATTTTGATATGAGAAATAGCTTCCAATGGAATCGTCTATACTTTATAAATGAATTTTGTTATTTAATCTACATATAAGCAGGCAGTATAACCTCCATAATCTTAATGATAATCTGGTTAGTTTGGGTCTATTAGCGTTTTGGTTTCATAAAACATTTCATAATTGTATCTCAGGTTGCCAAAGAGTGAATTAATAGTTGGTGTTTCATCTGTGCTGTGAGCCATCTGGCTCTTAGAATCATTAATATTAATTACTCGCTTTCCTTAGTCAGCCAGACTTGAAGGCATCTGTCCCCATTACAAAGAGAGGGGGAGAATCAATCTGCCATGTAGAATAAAACTTTTACTATCAAGCATTTGAAATTTAAACTTTTGAAGTTTCAAAGTGATAGACAGTTTCTAAGTTCTTGAAATTTCTTTTTCTTGGATTGAAAGTCCCCTAGTTTGTTGTTGTTGTTAAGTAACATCGAGTTGGCTCTGACCCATAGTGACCCTATATAGGGTTTCCGAGAAGTGGCTGATGAGCTTGAACTGCTGACCTTGAGGTTCAAACAGACTTTGTAGTCCGCAGCACCAGCTGACTCACTTGTTTTTGAATATTTTATGATTTTTGCCTTCACCAAACTGACTCTTTACTAGCTTTGTATCATTCAGGGGAAGTTGTTTACCAATTCTTATCAGGAATTTCTCCCACTTATAAACTTGAGGGTAATATTGCCTACCTCCTAATGTTCTTGAGAAGATGAGGTGATGTACTGCATTCTTAACATCAGCACTGCCCTTATCCCCATGCGAGACAGTTATTCCCCAGAAAGCAGTAATTCACAGGTTATTCAATGCAATTTTAACTGATAAGAAAAAATAAATCAGTAAATTAGTGACTTGACTTGAATTTGAGATGTTTTGTATTTTGGTAAGCCAGAAATTTTAAAATACAACCCTCCAAACCCAATGTTTCATTTGCTTGTTGTTGTTGTTAACGTGCCATCGAGTCGGTACCGACTCCTAGCGACCCTATGCACAACAGAAAGAAACACTGCCTGGTCCTGGGCCAACCTCACTACTGTTGCCATGCTTGAGCCCATTGATGCTGCCACTTTGCCAATCCATCTTGCGGGGAGGTCTTCCTCTTTTTCTCTGACTCTGCACCTTACTAAACATGATATCCTTCTTCAGCAACTGGTCCCTCCTGACAACATGTCCAAAGTATGAGAGACGAAGTTTGGCCATCCTGGCCTCCAAGGAGCACTCTGACTGAACTTCTTCCAACACAGATCTGTTGGTTCTTTTGGCAGCCCATGCACTTTCAATATTCTCCTCCAGCACCAGAACTCAAAAGCATCAATTCTTCTATGGTCTTCCTTATTCACTGTCCAGCTTTCGCATCCATATGAGGTTATTGAAAATACCATGGCTTGGGTCAGACGCACCTTAGTCCTCAAGCTGACATCTTTGCTCTTCAACATTTTAAAAAGTTCTTGTGTAGCATATTTTACTAATGCTTAGATTATCTGAAATTTTATTTGCTTTTCTCAGGGGAGCTAAGAACCCTTTAAGGATACAGGATCTAATTTATTTGTTCAGCTACTTAGGAAGTCCCAGCAGAAATAGTCATTATTTTACAGATGGTAAGAGAGGCAGATGGGTGAAGTTGCTGGTTCAATTGAACCAACATGATGTAGGTAATAAAATGAATGTGTAAAAGAGCATTTTAAAAGAACAAAAAATGTTACAATTCTATTGAGACACCTACCCTTTAAACCATTTCCTTAAGTATCCTTCTTTAGATAAGGTGAATTTACTCTTCCATGAGAGAATCCCTGAGAATAAAATTGAGTGCCCTAAATGACATATTGCCTGTGATTTTCTATTAGCTTCAAATAGCTACAGAGACTTCCCCTTAAGTTCTCCAGCTTCATTATTAGAGTCCTGTATGATAAGCACTGGATTGCTTACCACAAGGCTAGTGGTTCAAGCCCACAGCTGCTCATTGGAAACCCTATACAGGGTCTCTATAAGTCAGAACCGACTTGATGGCACACAATAACAACAAGCTTGATTATTTAGACTTATTACTTCAGAAATTCTTTTTAAGGGGAAAGAATACTTTCCGCAGATTTTATTTCTAATGAAAGAAACATTTAATCCTTTTAAAACTATTTATTTATAAAGTAGTTGATTTCTTTTTGTCTTTGTGTTTAGAATACGTGTGTGTATGTTTTGCTAAGCGTATTAATTTTGTTTTGAAATGACTAACCCATTTAGAATTTTTAGATTCAAAAAGAAAAAAACCAGTGTTATAGCAGCAACTTCCTATGATTGAGTGAGGGATAGCTATTTTCCTGTAATATGGCTGCATTTGTTGTTGCTGCTATGTGCCATTGAGTCAGTTCCGACTCATAGGATTTCCAGAGAGGGCCTCATGGGTTTGAACCGCTGACCTTGTGGTTAGCACTGCAGTGCTTACCATACAGTGCCACAGTAGGACTCTGAATAGCTGTATACCTTGCTTTAAGTAGTAACATACACATGTGTGAATAGCCTACAAGGATAAGATATGAAGAACTTTATTTCCTAGAAGGCAGTGGCTGATTTTATCCTAATGTTCACAGCACACAGAGCAGGGTTTAAAAGCCTCTGGAGAAAATACTTTAACTATAGCACTTGTAGGTTAGCCTCAGTTTATTGAAAAATAAACTGAGTCCTGGTGTGCTGTGGGCTCACCAGCTGCTCCTTGGAAACCCTATGCAGGATTGCTATGAGTCGGAACTGAATGGATGGTATTTAACAACACACACACACACACATATATTAAGAGAACAATTACAAATATTGATGAAATGTTGTTGTGTACCATGAATTCCAAGTCATAGCGACCCACTAGGAGAGTAGCACTGCCCCATGGGGTTCCCTAGTCTAATCTCTATGGAACACATCACTGTGTGCTTTCTCCCTTGGAACTTCTGGTGGTTTGGAATCACTGGCTTTTGCATCAATGTTGTTCTGAAGTACCGTTGAGTCGGGTATGACCCATAGTGACCATGTATAGGGTCTCCAAGAAGCAGCTAATAAGTTTGAACCACTGACCTTGTAGGTCAAACCAACCTTGTGATCTAGTGCGTTATCCTAGTGTCACACCAGGACACACTATCTCATATATATATGTGTGTGTGTGTGTGTGTGTGTGTGTGTATGTATGTAGTCCTGGTGTGGTGCTGTGGGCTCACCAGCTGCTCCTTGGAAACCCTATGCAGGATCGCTATGAGTCGGAACTGACTGGATGGTATTTAACAACACACACACATATATACAGACATATTTTTTAAAAAAATAAACTTTCTTTTTTGTGATCATGTGTTGTGGGTGGGGAAGGAGAAAATATTAATAGAAGCTTCTAAAACAAAAACACTTGTTTATGGAATAAAGTGAATTAGTAGATCAAATAAGAGTCATAAAAATATATATTCTAAAGAGGTATTTAATGAAATCCTAAGGAATGTGGTATGTATGGGGTAAGGGTCATTGTAGCTTAGGGTAAAAAAAAGAAAAATATGGGAATAAGGGTCATTTTCCTTCAAAAGCTTTCTCTTTCGTCTCTTATTTTGTCAATAATGTTGCAGATCGTCTTCACTTCTATTACCTACTTAGATTGTACATACCTGTCCGTTTAACAATTTTGTTTGTTATTGGAACTTTAATGCAAATCCAGAATGTTATGTGATTTGCATGCTCTTTTTGTAGACACAGATAATGTACAAGTGGATAGAGCCCAAAATCTGCCTGGAGGAGCTCACAGATGCTATTAGATTGCCACCTTCTGGAGAGAAAAGGGATTGTCCACCTTGCAATCCTGGATTTTATAACAATGGCTCGTCTTCTTGCCATCCCTGCCCTCCAGGAATGTTTTCAGATGGGACAAAGGGTAAGCAGTCATTAGAGCCAAGAACTGGACATTTAACAAAATGATCTTGTTGAGATACTTTGACCTTGTCCTAAATTGTTTTTATAGAGGGATTCTTTAAGCTGTATAACTTCTTATACAAGACTGAAGAAGATTTGAGATAAATGATACTAGACTTGTGAGACTGCAGTGGCTTAGTGAACATCCCCTGAGCATCGCTTTTTAATGGCATTTAGTAAAACAGTCTCTTAATAGAATGGCTTTTTATCTAAGGAGACTGATAACAAAATTCAAACATATGAATATGGAGCACTCCTCTTCCAGTGTGTGCATATAAAAGTACATGTATATTTTTGTAAGTGTAAAAACGTTGGAGCCCTGGTTACACAGTTGTTAAATGGAACCCACCAATCACTCCATGTAAGAAAGATGTACCAGTGTGCTCCCGTACAAGATGAATAGCCTTGGAAACCCCGTGTGGGCAGTTCTACTTTGCCCTATGTTGTTGTTTTTATATGCTGTGGAGTCGATTCCGACTCATAGTGACTCTATACAGGGTTTCTGAGGCTGTAAATCTTTGCAGGAGCAGAAAGCCTCATGTTTTTCCTGCGGAACAGCTGGTAGTTTTGAACTTCGGACCCTGAGGTTAGCAGCCCGATTCGTAACTGCTAAGCTACCAGAGCTCCAGTAGAGTCACTATAAATTAAAATGGACTCAATGGCATTGAGTTCAATTTATATATTAAAAAAATTGTTGTTGTTAAGTGTCGTTGAGTCAGTTTGGATTCATAACAACTCTCTATAGGGTTTCCAAGGAGCAGCTGATGAGCTTGAACCGCCAACCTTGTGGTTTAAACTGACTCTTCAGTCTAGTCCTTTATCCTACAGTGCCACACCAGGGAAAAAATAGTTTCTTCTAAATCAGCTTTGGAGTGATGGATCATTGTTTATGCTGCAGTAATAGCAAAAATTATTCATTTTGATCATACTGAAATCAAAATTGTTCCTAAGTAGTTTTTTTTAAAAAGTGTACAGATTGGAGATATTTATTACTTACCAAAGGAGCCCTGGTAGTGTAGTGGGTTATGAGTTGGGCTGCTAACTGCAAGGTCAGCAGTTCGAATCTACTAGCCCCGCCACAGGAGAAAGATGAGGCTTTCTTCTCCACCAAAGGGATATAGCTTCAGAAAATACAGGATTGCTATGAGTAGGAACCTACTTGACAGCACTTAGCAACAACAATATACCATAGCCAGGATTTTCTTTTCCAGATTGCTTTAGAAAAAATTCAATTCCTAAGGGAATTCGTGGTTCAATATCTCTCCTTCCCATGTCCCTCTCTGCTAATTAAAGAAGTTTAGGATTGTATGGTACAGAGCAAAAGGAAATTGTCTAGCTGCAGTTCAATGGTAATTATGTTCCTGCTTATCTTCTGTAGAATGTAGACCATGCCCAGCAGGAACAGAGCCTGCACTTGGATTTGAATATAAATGGTGGAATGTCCTTCCTGGTAACATGAAAACATCTTGCTTCAATGTTGGAAACTCAAAATGTGACGGGATGAATGGTGAGTTCTCATTCAGCCCACTTGGTACATTTTGGCAGCAGAGATGATCACTCTTAGACTCAACCCTCTCATAATCAATGCTTTGAACTACTTGTTCCCGGTTCAAGCATAGCCAAAACCAGAGCAGGTTCAGATTTGTAAAATGTGGGTAAACCGGAATGATAAATTACCTGTTGACACCCTGCTAGAAACTTAATCTCCCTCTTAGTAAACGAAAGCAGCATGTGCATTGCATAGCAACCAAATCTCTGGACTGATAGAGTCGGAAACAATGGTCCCTGCACAAAGATGATGGCCAACAGTTCTGCTTTGAGTTTGTATAGTTCTCCACAGTCCTGGCAAGAATCCAGTCTCCTGTATCAGACTCTTCTGAGTCTCCCATTCCAGGACTCCAACCTGTGATTTTTGCCTATTTAGTTTATTGTTCCAGTATACTCATATTTTACAAATTCAGCTCTGTTCAGATTTTGCTGTTTGAACTGGTTTTAAGCTCTGTTAAAAAAAATCCTGAATACAGGTATGAGGAAACAAATTTGTTTGCTTTTCTGGCAGTCCATAAAGTCCTATTGTGGTACTGCAAGATAGGCACTAGACTGCTAACACAAGAGTGGCAGTTAAAAACCCAACAGTCACACCTTGGAAACCTTATGTAGGATCACTGTGAGTCAGAACTGACTCCACCACACCCACAGCAACATGGTATATTTATCCAGTATTCTTCTCCAGCACCGTAATTCAAAGGCATCAATTCTGTAGTCTTCCTAATTCATGTCTAGCTTTCACAAGCATATGAGAGAGCAAATCACATGACTTTAGTCAGGCGTACCTTAGTCTTAAAAGTTACAGCTTTGCTTTTTAATACTTTTGACAACAGACTTGCCCAATGTAATACCTGTATGATGTCTTGACTGCTGCACCCTGGGTTTGATTGTGTATCCAAGTAAATGAAATCTATGACAAGTTCAATATTCTCGCCATTGAATACAATGTTGCTTATTGATCCACTTATGAGGATTTTTGTTTCCTTTATGTGGACGTATAATCCATACTGAAGGCTGTAGTCTTTGGTCTTCATTAGTAAGTGCTTCACATCTTCTTCACTTTCAGCAGCAAGATTGTGTCATCTGTATATTGCAGGTTAGTAATGAGCCTTCCTCGAATTTTGATGTCATGTTCTTCTTTATATAGTTTAGCTTTTCAGATTATTTGCTCAGCATCAAGATTGAATACATATGGTGAAAGGATACAGCCCTGATGCACACATTTCCTGATTTCAGTATGCAGTATCCCTTGTTCTGTTTGAAGGACTGGCTCTTGGTCTATGCACAGGGTCCATAGGAGTACAATTAAGTGTGGGGGCATTCCCCTTCTCCACATTGGTATAACTCACACAATTGAATGCTTTTTCACAGTCAACATAACACAGGCAAACATTTTTCTAGTATTCTTTGATTTTACCTAAGATCCATCTGACATTTATGAGGATATTCCTTGAAATGTTCTTTTTGACAATGAATGTGATATTTGTCATTCCCTGTATAATAGACCATATGGTTGTCCAGTTAAAAATGGCCAATACCAGACTATTTCAGCTCACTAATGCCTAGAATATATATCTTCAAGGATTCCATTTCTTTTTTGACAACTTCCAATTTTCCTAGAGTCATATTTGGTACATTCCATATTTCCATTGCTAATGGATATCTGTAGATGTTTTAATTTTGCATCATGCCACATCAGCAAATCCCCAAAACTCTGTTGCATCCATATTATTAAGGTCAAGTGTACATTGAGGAAATAGCTCTTTTCCAGTCATATTTTGAGTACTTCCAATCCAAGGAGCTCATCTGTTGGCACTTATAGAAGGCAGTGTTCCATGGCCATTCATAAGGTTTTCACTGGATAACTTTTTTTTCAAGAAATAGATCGCCATGTTCTTTATAGTCTGTCTTAATCTGGAAGCTTCACTGAAACCTGTATACCATGGATAATTCTGCTAGTACTTGAAATACTGGTGTCGTAGCTATCAGCATTACAGCAACACAGAAACCACCAGAGTACAAACTGACAGATGAGTGCTGGTTGCAAAACTTGTGATATATTATGTTATCATTAAAAGTTGGATGAAATATTATGTTATCACTAAGATGGTCTTGGTATGGCACTGCAGGATAAACGTTGAACTACTAGCCACAGGGTTGGCAGTTCAAACCCACCAGCTGCTCCTTGGAAACCCTATACAGGGTCACTGTGAGTTGGAATTAACTTGACAACACTTAACAACAACAGCATATGGAAAATAATTTGGCAATTTATTTTAAGATTTCTTAATGCATCCATCCTTCAGCTCACTAATTTCACTTGAGGGAAAGAAATCATTTAGAGTTATTTATAAGAGTGAATAATAGGAAACCAAACTAATTATTTAACAATGGTGGTATAATTAAATAAAATTATGATTTAGCCGTTGTTGTTACTGGGTGCTTTTGAGTCAGTTCTGAACCATAGTGACCTTCTGTACAACAGAACAAAACACCACCAGGTCTTGCACCATCCTCACAATTTCTGCTGTGCTTGAGCCCACTGCTGCTGCCATTGTTCCATTCCATTTCTTTGGGAATCTTGTTGACCCTCCACTTTACCAAGAATGATATCCTTCTCCATGGACTGGTTCCTCTTGATAATATGTCCAAAATATGAGACACAATGTCTGGCCACCTTAGCTTTTAAGGTGCATTCTGGTTGTACTTCTTCCAACACAGATGTGTTTGTTCTTGTGGAAGTCCATGGTACGTTTAATGGTCTTTTGCCTCAGTCCTTTACAGTCTTCTTTATTCATTGTCAAACTTTCACATGCGTACCATGGCTTGAGTTGGGCACTTTAGTTCTCAAACTAAACATCTATACTCTTGAACACTTTACAGATTTCTTGTGCAGAAGATTTGCCTGATGCAATACGTCATTTGATTTCTTGACTGCCTCCTCCAGGAGTGTTGATGGTTGTTGTTGTTGTTGTCAGGTGCCATCGAGTCGGAACCGACTCATAGCGACTCCATGCACAGCAGAACGAAACAATGTTCGATCCTGGGCCAACCTCA